GCCTGCAGCGGCCCTTCCTGCGCGGCCCGCTGGGCGTGCTGCGGCTGCTGCAGCTGCTGGTGGGCGCCGCGTGCTGGATCACCATCGCCACCAGCAAGTACCAGGGCCCCGTGCACTTCGCGCTCTTCGTGGCGGTCCTCTTCTGGCTGCTGACCCTGGCCCTCTACTTCCTCACGCTGCTGGGCAAGCACCAGCTGGTGCCCGTGCTGGGCGAGCGCTGGCTGGTGGTCAACGTGGCGCACGACCTGCTGGCGGCTGCGCTCTACGGCGCCGCGACGGGCATCATGATCGACCAGACGCAGAAACACAGCTACTGCAACATCAAAAATTACCAGAGGTCCTGTGCTTACCACGCCTTCCTGGCAGCCGCCGTCTGCGGCGGCCTCTGCCTCTGCCTCTACCTGCTCTCGGCGCTCTACGGCTGCTACCGCCGCAGCCAGGGCGAGTCAGAGGTTGTGTGAGGCTGCCTGCGACTCGCGCGGCCCCAGTAGGGGCAGGGGACCCTCTGGAGAACAGAGCGCTAGTCCTTGCTACCGCCGCCGCCCCGCGGGCCTCTGCCCGGGCACCTTTCCTTGCTGTGTTGCCGCTGCCTGCTGCGCCCAGGAACGGGGACCCAGACACACAGATTCCTCCTGATAGCGGCCCCACGTCTAAAGCGCTGCACAGGACTCGCCCTCTCGAGAGAGCTGGGCGCACCCTGTCCAGGGACCTGGGCGCACCCTCAGACTGGCCGCCCCAGGCAAAACCTCGCGGTGCCTCTTCCCTTTCTTGGTTGAGAGCGAGACGTGGACAAGGCGCCGCGTAGATCCGGGGGAGGCTCCCACATTGGAACCAGCTTTAAGGCTGCACCACCGCGTCCTCGCTCCTGCCCTGCTTTTGGTAAACCACCTCTTCCCAGATGCCTCTTCCAGCCTCGGGTGCTGTAGAAGACAAGCACGTGGTTTCTGCTGGACCTCGGGACAGGCTTCAACAGTCCCTGGGATGAGTGACAGGCCCCAGGAGCCTCTCAGGGGCCCACCCTTCAGTGCTTTGATATCTCAGGGCGAGGCCAATCTACAGACGTGTGGCGGGATGTACCCTTGGACCTTTGGAATCTTCTCACCTTTGCCTACCCTGCCTTTTTTCAAACACACACAGGTCAATGACTTTTGTCCTCCTGGTGATAGAGCCCCTTCGCAGCCTTCCTCATACAGGCATCTGCTTCACTGTCCTCACGTCATGGAATTTTAGGATAAGCCCAAACCTTTCTTTTTACAGACAAGAAAGGGGAACCTGCAGAACAAAATTAGAACTGTTCTCTCGATCCCTAGTTCAGCGCTATTTGCTTTAAAGAAATGGGTATTCCCTGGGGAAGACCCCTGTAAAAGAGAATTTAAAGACCAAATGTGTTTGTCAAAGGTGCTGTAACCCTTTCGTAAGATCCAAGATGCTTTTTAACATTTCCAAGGCACCATGAAACCCCTCTGTACAGAACGAAGCTCGGATAACTTTGTTTACAGTATTAACTGTCTTTGGGCCTGAATCAGCTTTCTCCACCTTAAAATTCCAAGCAGCGCTGTGTCCTAATCCTACTCATAGGTTTGGGCTTGTGAAGGTTCAGGGTATATGCTCTCTTTCCCTGGGAGTTTCTGGAAAAGAGGGCATACGCCAAAGCCTGGAAATTGGTGAGTTTGACCAAAGAACTTCACCTGTTAGAGGTCTTGGCATTGACAAGGGTGGAGGGAAAGCTCTGGAGCTGGAATGCACAGTTGGCCAAGTCCCTGGAAGGTAAGATACTTCTTGATTTCCAGAAGAGGAATCATAGTCACTGAAAAACACAAAGCCCCCTCCGTTCCCCAAAGGGGAAAGGTCTTTACGAAAAGACAAATGAAAAGAATAACATTGTTCTTGTGTACTGACCCATAGCTGACCCTCCAGTGGGTTTTCAGGGGCAGTTAATTGGAGGAGATTGATTGCCCTTCCTTCTGTGGAGCAGGAACTGGTGGCCTCAAACTGTGAGCCTTCCTGATTGCAGTGCAGCTTCTTGCCACTAGGCCAACGTTGTTGTTGTTATGTGCCGTTGAGTCTTTTGCGACTCGTAGCGACCCTATGTACAACAGCCCTAAACCGTCCTCTATCCTGTGCCAATCTCATTGCCCCTGACACACCCTTCCCAATTATCCTAGTCACTGAATCAATCCACCTCATGGAGGGTCTTCCCCTCCTGCTCTGTCCCTCTACTCTACCCAGCATGATGTCCCTCTCTAAAGACCTGTCTCTCCTTACAACATGTCCAAAGTATGTCAGACGAAGCCCCAGAATCCTTGCCTCCAAGGAGTAGCCTGGTTTAACCCTCTCTAGGATGAATCTGTTTGTTTTCTTGGCAGTCCATGGTACATTCAATACTCTTCTCCAGCACCACAGGCCAACGTACTAACCACAATATTCAGACAGTTGTGAAAAGTCCTATTTTGCTATGCTCTTCAAAGGCTCTTCTCTTTGAAGCAAAAGTTCCACTTTCTGAAACAGAAACTGGAATAAAGCCCACACTCATCGAGTAAATTCTGACTCTTGACAACTCCTTAGGATAGAAAACTGCCCCCATCGAGTATTCACATCTGTAAATCTTTACTACAGTGGATTATTGCACCTTTTCCCCATGGTGCAGTTGGTGGGTTCGAAGCATTGACCTTTGATCCTTACTCCAATGCTTAACACATCACACCACTAGGGCTTCGAGAAATGGGATCCCAAGCTAAATCCACTGCTAATCAGTTGATTCCTGCTCCTAATGACCCACTAAAGTATTTTTTATTAAATTTTATTAATTTTAATGAACATTTACAGAGATTTTGGGTTTCCATTCATTCGTTGTTGCACTATTTTCTCTACCCTCCCCCCCCAACCACTAGCGTATTTTTGAGGTTGTGAATTGTTTTGACAGGAGCCTGCCCATCTTTGGCCTATAAAGGGGCTGGTGGATTTGAACTGCCCGCCTTTCCCTTAGCCACCTGACACATTACATACTTGCTTCCAGGGCTCCTTAGATAGTGGAATGTTGTTGGTTGTGATTAGGTGCTGTCAAGTCAAATATGACTCTTGTGCTCAGCTGTAAACCAAAAGTTTGGAAGTTCAGGTTCACTCAGAGGGCCCAAGAAAAAAAGGCCCGATGATCCCCTTTTGGAAAATCAGCCATTAAAAACTCTCAGGGGTACAGTACTTTGATCATGTTGGGTCACCATGAGTGGGAGCTGACCAAAGGGGGACTGGTGCCCACAGTATACACAGTTCTGAAGAGGCCAGAAGGCCAGGGTTCACACCCGAGCTTCACTGCTCACTAGCTGTGAGAACATGTTCCAGTTATTTAACCTCTCTGTGGCCCTTTTTTTCTCATCTGTAAACTGGAAGCCAATGGGATTTTTGAGAATGCTGTGAATGTATGTAAAGGATTATGTGCGGAGCCAGGCTAGATGAGCACTACAGTTGTAGTTGTTAAGTGCCATCGAGTCAGCTGCGACTCAGCGACCCTGTGTATGCTAGCTCTGAACTCTGCTCTCTCCTGAGCCAGCCTGTCTTCGACACACTTATACCCATTACCCCAGTTGCTGTGCCAATCCATTTCATTGGGGTCTTCCTCTCCTGCACCATGGTGATGTATTTAAAACTTGCAGCAATAATTTGCACCTTTACATCCACAAGAGAGAAATTTGACACTTCTATACCAAAGACACAAAACACAAAAACACACTTTGGCCTCCTCTAAATGTGATGGATCGACCCAGTGACTTCAACAAGGGGCTTGAGTGTGTTGGAGATGGTCAGGATGGCACAGGACAGGGCAGGGTTCAGGTTGGCTGTTCAGTGTTTCTGGCTGAGCTTCAGGTTGGGCAGGGTAATTGTTCCCTTAGCTCCAACGGCTGGTGCCCATCAGAACCTGGGAGTGGAACTTGCTGAGGCCCTTGGGCCAAAGCCTCGGAAGCCTAGTGACTCTGGCTTTTCTGTTGCAGGTTCCGTGTTGCTGAGATCATGGAGATCTCCAGAGCCTCGTTGCTGCAATGACCCCCAGTGCCTAATTTCCTCAGCAGGCACTGCTCCTCTGACCAGGGCCAATGGGAGCATTGAGAGCTTTCACTGGCTGTCAGAGGAGGTGAGAGAGAACACGTGCCACCCACCGCCCAGCAGCCTCCCTTCAGTGTGGCTTTCACACTCCCCGTGGAAGAACCAAGATGGATAATGACTAGTTGTGCGTCAACTCATGGGAACTCCTGCTTCTCCTTGTGCCAAGACTTGGATGTGAGATTCCAGAAACTGGGTCTGAATTCTGTACCCCTGAACCTTAAACAGTGGGTTTTAGTGTCAACTTTTGTTCCTTTTTGTTTCCTCTGTTTTTAGATCGTCATTTAAGTTGCACCCTCAGCTCAGGCCTGTATCCTGAGGTCTCCCTCCTGGGCCCCTCAGCTCCCAGGTACGCTGCCTGTGTTCATGGACCTCTCAGGAGCAGAACCTCCTGGGGCTTTGCAGTGCCTCATCCTTGCCTAAGTGCCTGAAGCATTCCAGAGCTTCTTGGCTCTTCTAGAGGTGCCTTTACACCTGGTCTACAGCTGTGCGGTGGATCCTCTGTCCTCCAAAAGTGAGAAGTGCCTGTAAGACAGCCCTCTGTTCAGTCCCTTCTCCCCCTCAAGGCTTCCTGCTGTACTTGGTTATGGCTGCCTGACCCAGCCCAGAACTTTTGGATTATTGAGACAGTTTTCTAGGTCACCTTCTTTGGATACTAAGACCCAGTCCAACTCAAGGGCATGCTGGCCATCTCCCATCTCCAAAGTCTAGGGCCATACGTGGATTGGGAAGAGAAATTCAACAGTGTCCCGCAAAGGCCAAAGGGAGGCTCAGGAGTGGGGACGGGTGTGTCTCATTCAGTAGTGTAGTGATTACTAATCTGCTTTTCTGAATAAAATTGGTTTTGTCTGATTTCAGTGTGAAGTGTCTTCTGGTGTAAACAGTTCCAGTGGCCTTCTGTGCTGGGGGCCCAGGGTCCTTCTGTTCTTAGTGTCCCGCCTCTCTGCTAGCCCTTGTTACACACACACACACACACACACACATTCACAGATTCACAGACAGTTTCACAGTTAGGGGTGGGGACAGAGGTTGCCTGAGGGCAAGAACCAGAGAGAGAGAAGAAAACTCCCTGTGTTTGTTCCTGTCTGAGACTGGAGGAAATTCTGGGGTGGAGCCAGAGGGGCCCTAACCCAGTTCATCCTTTGTAAAAGGAGAACCTGGAGCTCAGGGTGGGGTGGCAACAACTTGCCTGATGCCACACCGCTGATGAGGGCCAGAAATGGGTCTGCCAGCCCCAGGCCTTGCCGCTTTTCTGCAGATCACTGTGCCCTGGACCACACCCTGCCCGGCTTTTCTCTCTATTCCTCCTCCTCCGCTGCCTGCTGACTGAGTTGCCCCGGGAGGGATGTGAGGCAGTTAGCCGGCC